TACTTTGATATGATGATAGATCTAACCTAACACATGTTAGGACGAAAGACAATCTTATAAGCTTGGGCATTTATTTTCTATTAATTTTTATTTTGTTGTTTTTTACGGATCAACAATTGAAGCAATCGACTATACGTAGTTAATATCAACTAACATGTTCAACTATAATTAATATAGAAATATCATAAGACCAACGCATATGCTAACATGTTCCAAATATAATAAATCGAATACCTCAAGTGACTTAATAAAAACACATAAACAAAAAAAAAAAAAACCAAATATAACACAATTAGTTAGAGGTAATCAACGCTGCATGCATTCCCTTGTCAATACTGCATGCTTCATATCAGTAACCTCTTGGCAAGGAAAATTTATCATAATCTCCGTGCATGTATATGCAGAAGTCGCCAACCACGAACCTATATCGTTAAAAATAAACCAAATACAATTAAAAGACAAGCATGCAAAAAACATAAGTAACCAACGAAAATCAACATATATACATACCAGAATTAACTTCAAGTTTAGCAAAACGCATGATGCATATCAAAATATCGTCGGTGCAATGCCTCCATTTGTTAAAGAAATCGTTGGCATAGTCTTTTGGTAACCTACATTGCAGAATATTATCCCTGCATTATTATGTCAAATACTCAATGTGAGTCAAATATAATATATAGTTTTAGTATATAACGAATGTATACGTATATATAGAATAAGACACAACATACGTTTTATCTTGAAGCTGGAAATATATCTCGTTCCAGTCATTATTAGGACCACCATCTTCCTTAGGGTTTCCAACTTTAATGATTTCGCCAATCAGATCTTAACAAATACATAGATAGGTCATTAATAACTATTTTATCGAGATATTAGATAAACATGATCTACAAACTTACCAACGCAGACGGCTGGATCTAAAATACCACTATTCACATCGTCAAAAGATGCAAACGAAAAAAAATTATTGGAGCTAACAGGTGATATTTTCTTCATAACAGTCGTATCTTGCCACCTAAGCATGAATCGATGTGGAACAGGTCTAAAAGGATAGAAAGCCAAAGTCAGCTTAAAACCTCGAAGACTGATCCAATCTCCTACGGTAATCCTTCGACACACCCGATCGATATAATCACCGTCAATAACAGCATGTATCTTCTGGCCCTATAATCAAAATAATATAAATTTATACATATAAGCTAACTAAATCGTTTATTTCTGTACACGTCGAACGGTCTATTTAGATGTGTAATCAGACATTACCTTTTCATCAACTAATATTAGATCCACGGTGTTATGATTACCAAAACATCGCACGAACTTCCTTAGTATCTTTACGCGGAGCCTCCATTCATGGACAAAAGGATTCAACGAAGAAACGTCGGTGTACGCGACCTTCGTGTTGAAAGAATTACGGACTGCATTCGCTAGTAAGTGCGCCATATAGATTGATAAAAAAGGAAGAGTAGAGAAAATCTTGCGAATTAGGTTAACTTATGAGACAGCACCGAACGTGCCTTGATATATATACAAGAATGTTAAACAATACAGGATATTTTAGACTATTCAATATATTTGCCTTTTTTTCGGGCAGTATATTGTATCTCTTATTTTTCGAAAAGTATATAAATTAGAGTATCGATAATTTGTGGGATATATGTAAATTTTGTTGCGAATATGTAAACATTATCGTATAAAAGTAAAAATGCTATAATTTAATAAAATAACTAATTAATATTCGAATTTAATAAAGGGCATTTAAGTAATCACACAAAAGCAAGGGCTCAACAAGAGCTGTGAGTCCGACACATAAGCAAAAACACTTCTCAAATATTATTATATATAGATATAAATTCATAAATAAAATTATAAATGCATATTTTTAATAATTTGAAACTGGGGTCTTGCTATATATATATATTCAAATCATTATTATATCAAATGCTAAAATTATTCTTAAAATTTTTTCACTTACATTATAAACACACCTACCTATTATCACCGCTACAAAAGTTAATTACTCTATTACTCTTTTTCACAATTGAATTCTTTATGTTTTTTTTCACAATTGAATTCATATTTTTTTATTAACACTCAACTTCAATTATTAATCATAATTAGTGTTGTCATAAAAATTCATGTCTTTCCAATGTTAATTTAATTTGTAGCAGTTATTCGCATATGAGAACAATCTCAAAATTATTAATCAATATCAAAACACGATAAATAAGTCCATACCATTTTAGGCCGGTTTATTTATAAATTATACGAAATAGAAACCCTAAAAATCCTTAAACCATGAAAGGAAATTATTCCATGAGAAGGAATGTGGTTTTGGTCTGTGCTACTGAAACTTCAGCTAAACCAGAGAGTCACTACAATATTTTACCCACAAGGCCATTAATGAGACTCATGTTTCATGTGTCGTCATTATGGTGACGCATGAGTACGCATCCGTAAAGAGATTTTACTCATTCACGGATATGAAGACGGTCCATTGGATGTGGATTAGTGTATAGCACTCCGATCCACCTCTAGGAGCGAAGGACTTCTCCTATCATCCCGTCTACTGCATGAGACGTAAAACTATGACGGTTGAATCGAAGGAAAAGAATTTCAGAAAGTGAACTTTCAAACTCTTGAAAAGAACTACATGTATTTAACTCCTTATTTTTTTTTTAGGTTCATGTCCCTACGCTTAGGATATAAATTTTCATCAACCGATTAGGAGTAGTTCTCGGACGTAATGACCAATGCATAAGTCGAATCGATTGAGTAATATTTCTCTGTGACCTTACGTTGCCATATGCGATAATGTGTGTTGTTTCCCGGTACGGAAGATTCTTCTGAACCAAGAATTAAAGTGAGTGGAGTCGCATGAACATCAATGAAGATAATTGATCATCGGGTGGATATCAAATCAAGTTTAGCGACAACAAAACAAGAAAACAAATGTAAGATTCCATGACAATTAGTATTTACGATATATATTAAGCTTACATTGCATCTTAGTATCTTACAGGCATGAGCTTGCACTGCCTTCTAAGATGCTAGGTAGGCTTAATAAATACAAATGATCAAGAAATACTACAATTGTCTTCTTTTTCGTTGTTGCTTGATTCGATATCAACCACATGATCGGTACGACGATGTTCATGCGACTGACTTCACTCACTCTAATTGTTGGGGCCAAAGTATCTTCCTCACCAGAAAACATCATCCATTGCAATGTAAGGCATTGTAAGGTCTCAGAGACATATATATTACCCAAACAATTCGACTTATCATATCCGTTGTAGGTCATTGTGTTCATATATTATATTAAGAGTGGCTGTAGGTAATGCATTTCTGATTATTATTATATTTTGGCTATAGTTTCTTTTATCTATGAACTCTTAACTCATATTTAAATGCTTATCCGTCGTAAGTTGTTGTGTTTCATGTACTATATCAACAAGTAATAGCATTAGAAGTTACTTTCTTGTCTCTGAAGTCAAGTAATTAAGTTGTGATTGTAAACTAGTGTTACAGATCACTAAATATATAAAACATAAAGCTCCATCGACTTAACGAGGGCAACTATTAAAAAAAAACACTAATGCCGTGGAACCTAAGTTAGTTCTTTGACTTCAAAAGGAACACCATGTGGTTAGGACTGCACAAATGCCTTGTTGGAGAAGCAAACAAAGAAAAGGAAATATATGGATTAGCAAACACTCAAAATCTTGTTGACTTTACTGTTATTAATCTTTAAAGTTGGAGAAAGAACTAAAAAAATGCAAGCAGATATTTACTTATTTGTGTGAGATCTACTATTATTTAACTTTGTAGTTGTCAAGAAGCAGAAACTCTTTTCATAATCGAAATAATATACTATAATCTGAAAAGGTGTAAATAAATGTAGCTGTTTTATTTTGGTTGAAGTTGGTACATGAGAAAGAGGAATTGGTGTAAGAATTGTCATAGGAGGAGAACATACTCAAAGTCCAGACTCAAAGGCTAGATTGTGAAATTACTATATGATGAATATTTATAAAGTATGTTTGTAACATGTAAAAAATGTTTATAAAGTATGTTTAGTTCTTAGTTCTTACACTACTTTAAAACCATGAAGACTGACACTAATGTTATTATACTATCAAAAAACCCGTATCATTCACTAATATGTTCACATTCTTGTGATGGCTAAAACCCTCATACCATTTATAAATTTTATGCTAATAGTTGGTTTGTGTTATTTAAAAAAAAAAACGACAGTATTTGTTTACATTCTGACAAAATTATTGACTATTGTGATCATGTTACAAAAAGAAAGGAGATGGACTAAAATAGAAGCTGATCATTGAAATGGGACGAAATATGCAGTGAAGATTGTCAATTTTATTTTGTGAATTTAAGGTAATTAAGTCCTGGAGTCTACTCTATGTTTAAAAATATATACATACCAAATATATAAAGATTTTTTAACAAAAAAATTGTATAAATTTTTATTTATATTAAACCAGAGTTTATGAAGATACTAAGATACATCTACTCAACTTCATGAAACCAATAGATAGCTTACCATGAAAATCAAACATCATCGTTGAACCAACATGATCCATTAACAGTATTAAAATAAAAATTTATGTTAAAATATATTCTATTTTACGTATAAGATATAATATAGCTTCTAGATAGATTTTTAATATTTTCAGTAATCTTCAACTTTTGTGATATTAGAAGGCGAGATTTTAACTTTTGTACAGTATGTGACGGCATAAATTTTAACACTGCAGTAAAGGATTTACGATATGTGTACTACTTGCATGCAATCAATCAAAAAAAGTAAGAAGAAGGTGATAAATAATTTCGACGTAGAAAACGGAGTCAATCAGTGACGAGATTAAACAATACGTATGAACACTAAACTATTTTTAATTTATATTTTTCATCTTGTTTTGTCAACTACATATTAATTAAAAGTTCACGCCATGATGGTTGTCCGGTCGGGAGGAAAATAGTTTATAAATGTAATATCAAAAAGTAATAATCTGAAGGATTGAATTAGATAATCCACTTTAAAATTACAAGAACGTGAAATATGAGATAGCGAGAAAGATGGAAAGGAAAAACAAAACACCCCAATCTCAGGGTTCACGTGGCTTAAGTTGTTGCTTCTTTATTGATTTTGCGCATTGGTCATAGGATTGTTGCTTATGTACTCATATGTAAACTCCCATTCTTTCATATCATTCATAGCAAGAAATAGAACATTTCCCGAGAGTAGACTCTTTCGTTGAAACACTAGTAAATTCCTACTCTTTCACAATCTCCAAAGGATCAATTTGGAAATTTTTTGGATTTGTGGCTGAGCTTGATTACTAAGATTTCTTAGACATCTTCCTTTGCAGCTAGTACTTCTCTAATTTTTGTTTCGTTCCAGCTGTTTCCTGTGGCTTTCACCCAGTCTTTAACCATATAATTTCCAACAGTTGGATTACGAGGTCTTGGTAGTCTTGGTGGATGTGAAGGCAACCAGGGATCGGACCAAGTGTTGATCATCAAGCCGTCTCCAAGCGTATGAAGTCTTTCTTCTTTAGGGTAGCATTTAACACATTAGTGTCGTGAATGTAACGTCTCATGAGTATATATTTTCGCCATCAAACAATCTAGATTCTGGAAAATTCATCACTACAAAATTTATGACTCTATTTCACAACTGAATTCTCATAGTTGATTTAGACATTTTCAAATAGTTTGTTATATATAGACAACAATATTTTAAAACTAAAATAATAATCTTGGAAATTTATGAAAATTAAGTTTTGTTTATTTATTTTAAATAATTAAATTTAATATATTATATTTGTTGAAATAAGGAGAGTTCAGATTGAGTAAATGATAAGATTTTCTATTATTTGTTGTCCAAACACGTTGTGACACCTGGATTCACTCTAACCAAAAAGATAATTAGGGTTTACATCTTATATTTCTCTGTATATATATATCGAAGCATAGCAAGACCTATAGCTCCTTTTCGAAAGACAAGAACCTAGCCGACTTCTCTGATCCATTATTGAAGATTGATGTAGCAGATCCGAAGGCGAGAGAAGGGTGGAAATTAAGATATTATATTACGAGCACATGTACGACAAGAAGGATTCCAATTCTGGCAAAGACAGTATTGATTTTCGTTAGATCTTTTTTTGTATCAGCACATGTATGGGAAGAAGGAATCCATCTTAGGCAAGACAATATCAAATTTTCTATCAAATATCAGATATACTTGTCTTAAAGTATTTACCTTTTATTGATTTAGTTGTCAGATCAAGCAAGCAAACAAAAACTGAAAGAACTCTCCAATGGACATGTAGATATGGTTAGTGAAACGATTTGATTTAATTGGTTGGTTTTTATTCTTTGTTCTATATGTATTCATATTCTTAATCGATATGTTGTTAAATACTGTGTAGATCTGTGATGAAAGTAGACAGAAACTTTAAGCTTTAATTTGTCGGGAAAATGTGACAGAAGTGATGCAAGGATGCATTGTGTCAACGGTATGGTACGGTTTGTCTTCTTTTGTTTTGTTTATTTTGTTTTTTTTTTGTTTTGTTTATTTGAGACTTTTAATTAGCATAACATCTGTCAAGTTGGTTAGGTAGGAATTTGATAACAGACTTTTTTTTTTTTTTTAAAAGATAAAACTTTGAGACTTTTAACTGTAATAGAATGTTAGATCATGTACTTTTTAAAAGATATATATTTTTTGAAAACTAATATAAAATCTGTATTAAACTATATTTTATTTTCCATATAAAATATAAGCAAACTTCTAGATAGATTTTTCACATATCTTAATTTTTTTTTTTGTTATCTTAAATTTTTGTTATTGTTACAGGGTGAGATCTTATCTTTTTCATAGTACTTTTGATTATATAAATTTATTATTATGTCTACCGTTTGAGTGTAATCAATCAAAAGATAGTAAATATAATGTGGTAAATAATTTCGATAAAGAAGAAAGCGCCAATCAATGACGGGATAAAAAGATACGTATAAATCCTAAACCAAAATGATACAATATATATATATATATATATAGATATATATATTAATATTTTTAATTCAAAATTTTTTCATATTTGCATACTTTTAATAATAAAACTTTGTGTCTTACGATATAGATATATTTTGTATTGTAATGTATTCACACAGTTTAACATTCTGACCATTATTACATTTTCACAGTTTTTCACCTCTACATAATTTATTACTCTAATTGACAATTAAATCCTTTTTTGACAATAGAATTCATACATGTTCAAATAGTTTGTTGTACGAAAATATTCTGAAACTAAAATCATTTAGGAAATTATTAAAATTACATATTATTTATCTATTTTATAGGCAAAACCATTTTGTGAGCAAAAGAAAAAGAAAGACAGGAATAAAATAGAAAATTAAAAAATAATAATAATTATATAGCATTTGCTGAAATAAAGAGAGTTTAGGATAAGATATATTGAGTAAATGAAAATGGTAAGAAATTTCGTTGTCCAAAGATGTTGTGACACCTAACATGACTGTGACACCTAACATGGCTCACACACTCTAAAAAAAGATAATTAGGGTTTTGGACACCTTTTATTCAGTGTACATATATATATAGCCAAACATATCAGGTTCTATAGTCATCCTGGAAAGACACGAACATTGCCGCCTAATGGTAGTAATGAAGATCTCATTTTACTAGCACATGTACGAGAAGAAGGAATCAACTTAGGCAAGACACTATTAATTTTCGATCAAATATCTGATATACTTGTCTCAAACCATTTAACTTTTTATGATTTATTTGTCAGACCAAGCAAGCAAACAAAAGCTAAAAGAATTTCTAATGGTTCAAACTGTCGATATGGTTAGCGAAATTAACGGTAAAGATTCGATTTAATTGGTTGATTATTATTCCTTTTTTTTTGTTTTATATGGTTTGCTCAATCACGAGTTTTGTTTGTCACTAACCCGTTGAAGCTACTTGGAGATCTGCTTGAACGTGAGGGCCTTTTGACACAAAGGTAATTTCTTGCTATAACTTTTTTTATTTTCTTACTGTTTAATTAGGGAAGGGACAAACATATACACTGATTGTTGTTAATTTGTTGCTTGGGTTTAGAATACAACAAGAGTGTAAGTCGGGTGAAGAGTATTGGTTCAGTTTTTCTGTTTGTCAACATGTTCAGTTTATTGTTATCAAACAATATGTGATGTTTGTTTTTTTTGCAATAGATTTGATTTGTCTCGAAGATGTGATGATGGCAAAGTACATTGACGTGCCGCTTTCTTCTTTTTAATGTTTAAGTTCGATTCAATTCACTTCTAGAATCTGATACATATAGATTGAAATTGTATTTGATGTACTGTCTTAAACCATTTAACTTATATTGATTTAGTTGTTAGACTAAAAGAATTCTCACCTGGTTAGGGAAACGATATAGATTTCAATATAATATAGATTTCACCTGGTTGGTTTATATTCTTGTTTTATATGTTTTTTTGTATTCTTAAAAGATATGCTGTAAATTTCTCTTTAGATCTGTGATCAAAGTGGACAGACACTACGAGCTTTGTCGAGATAACATGAAAGAAGTGATACACTGTCAACGGTACGTCTTTTTTTTTTGTTGATTTGAGACGACTTTTAATTAGCATAATATCTGTCAAGTTGGTTAGGTAGAAATTGATTAGATAAAAGACTATTTTTTGTTTTGTTTTGTTTTTCTTTTTGATATGAGACTTATAATTGATTAGATAAAAATTCATGTCTTTCAAATGTTAAATTCATTAGTGATTCACATATGTGAGAACATTCTCAACGTTACTTTATCAATCAATATATGAAAAAACTCATTACAAATTAATGCCTAAACGGCATATTTATAAAAAATCCAAAACCCCTAAAATATCCTAAAACAATGAATGGAATTATTCCATGAGAAAGGAATGTGGTTTCGGTCTATGCTACTGAAAGTTCAACTAAACCAGCGACTCACTGCTGAACAAGGCCATTATTGAGAGTACTCATGTTCCATGTGTCGTCATTATGGTGACACATGAGTAATTAAGCATCAGTCAAGATATTTTAGTCATTCCCGAATATGAAGATGGTCCATTGGTTGTGCATGCATGGTTTAGTGTTTCAAGGAGCCACATAGATTGTAAAGTCACTAAAGACTGTATAGCACTCCACCTCTAGGAGCAAAGGACTTCTCCTATCATCCTGTCTACTGCACGAGACGTTAAGTTGAATCGAAGAAGATGAATTTCAGAAAGTGAACTTCCAAACTCTTGAGAAGAACTACAAAAATTTCACTCCTTATTATTTCTAGGTTCATGTCTCTATATGCTTAGGATATAAATTTTCATGAACCGATTAGGAGATGAAAAGATGCTGATGAAAAGTAAGAGGAGGAGTAGTTCACCGTTGTAGTGTCCAATGCATAAGTCGAATAGTTTGGGTAATCTTTCTCTGAGATCTTATGATTCCATATGCGGTAATGTGTGATGTTTCCAGGAACGGAAGATTCTTCAGAACCAATAATTAAAGGGAGAAGTATCTTTCTCACCACAGTTGGAGGGAATCTTAAAACTTTGACAGAAGCCTGTGGCCCGATCAAGTGTTACGGATTCCACGGTCGATTGCTAGGAACAAATTCTCTGCTAGAGTCCCTAAAGTTTGGAATTTCGCATTAGTATTTACTATTTATTTAGCTTACATTGCATCTTAGAAGGTTAGCTGAAGAAGCTTGGTTGGAAAATTTGGCTCAAAAGTGAAGAGGTTGAGTCTTTCTAGCTAGCCCCATGCCATGAGTTTATCAAGCTCAGCGGGGATTGTAGAAGAGGGGAAGTTGTTGTAAGCGACGTTCATTTGATCATGTAGATGACGTAGTCGTCTAAAAAGACTAAGTCATCTCATGACATTCATCAGATCATTTGGTGTATCCTAGCACAATATCATTTGTTCAAGATTCGGCGTTGTCTTTAGGAAGTGCTTGACCTGCTCGATCTGCTCCTCTATGTTTTCATCGTCATCACAAATTTCACCAAACTTAAATATCTTCAGAACCTTCACCGGACTTGATAATAGACAATTACGAACAAAAAATCCCCCACAATCATCCAAACATTTGCACAAGCACCCATCCTCATCGTCATATTTTTTAGTGTATTCATGATGCAGTCCTTGAAACATAAAAGGAAACCGTTTCAAAATTTATTTTTGTGTAAAAGCATGTCAGTTGTTAATGTGAAGAATGTGTATGCTACTTCGAAGACGAGGGTTTATAGATTTAGAGATTTTTGGAGTAGATCTAGCAGTGATTCCCAATCAATATATGGTACAATAGTTAACTGCATCAGGTTAATGAATACCGGTATTGTTTCACTTCAGTCATTAAGTACCTGAAACCAAAACCAAGTTAACTATATCATCACTAACTAATTGTCAATTGTCAACTTTTACCTAAAATGATGTGACTTACCTTAAGAGTGTCACAAGACATGTAGAGGATCTTAATATTGCATATTCCCATGAGATGATTTTTCAAACTGTTCTTGTCTTTGGGTTCCAAAGTAAGTTCTTCTGAACATGTTGCATGTATGATCTGATTAGGTGTCATTCGAAGTCCGAGACTAGCTTCAACAAGCGAATCAAAACTTGCTTGTTTATACTTATCAGCTATACTATCAGAATATTATAGATAGACTAGATTTGGATTATCAAATGACAATGAGACATTATCATTATCCTCATCAACATCTCTAACCTCATAAAAAGTTTCAAAATAAAAAAACTTTAGTCTCTTGAGGATTGGGATAAATACGATCACAAAACAAGGTTGAGGTTCCAAATAGTTCCAGTTCCAGTTCCAGTTCAAATTAGTTAGTACTAACTCTTGGAGCACATGACTTCCATATAGAAGCTTGTTAAACGTTTGTACAAAATCTCGATTTTGATGACTCTTTATATTTCCATCCTCCAATGACTTACAAAGATAAGAGAAAGAGTTCTGAAAATTTTTATGCATTTCGTGGATAATGTCTTGGCTTTGAAAGCAAAAGCTCAAGCTCCATTGAACAGATTCCACGTTAAACGTGAAGATGTTGTTGATCAATATTGGATGCTTAAATGGATATCCAAAGTGTTGAAACGTGGTGCGTTAGATTTTGATGTTCGCATTAGAGGATGGAAATAGAAAGAGTCATCAAAGTCAAGATTTGGTATAAAGGTTTAACAAGCTTCTATCTAGATGTCATGGGTTCGAAGAGTTAGATTAATTTGAAGTGGAACTAGAACTATTTGGAACCTCAACCATGTTCCGTGATCATGTTTATTCCAAGCCTCAAGAGGCTGAAGTTTTTTCGTTCTGAAACTATTTATGCGGCAGTTGAAGATGTTGATGAGGCTAATGAGAATGTGTCACTGTCATTTCATAATTCAAATCTGGTCTACCTAGAATATTCTGATAGTAGGCGGATAAGTATCATAAAGTGAGTTTTGATTCGCTTGTTGAAGCTAGTCTCGGACTTTGAATGACACCTGATCAGATCATACATGTAACATGTTCAAAAGGACTTACTTTGGAACCCAAAGACAAGAATAGTTTGAAAAACCTTCTCATGGGAATATGCAATATTAAGATCCTCTACTTGTCTTGTGACACTCTTAAGGTCAGTCCCATCTTTTTTGATGAAAGTTGACAATTGACAACTAGTTAGTGATGATATAGTTAACTTGGTTTTTGTTTCAGGAACTTAATGACTACAGAGAAACAATACCGGTATTCAACAACCTGATGCAGTTAACTATTGTACCATGTGTAGAGTACGAATCACTGCGAGGTCTTCTCAAGAATTTTCCAAACCTAGAAACTCTCGTCTTCGAAGTAGCATACACATTCTTCACATTAACAACTAACATGCTTTAACACAAAAATAATTTTCGAAACGGTCTCTTTTTATGTTTTAGGGACTGCATCACGAATATACTAAAAGATGTGACGACGAGGATAAGTGCTTGTGCGAATATCCGGATGACTGTGGAGGAGCAGATCGAGCAGGTCAAGCACTTCCTAAAGATCATGTCGAATCTTGAACAATTGATATTGTGCTACGATACACCAAATGATCTGATGATACCATTAGAAGTTACTTTTATTTGCCCATGAATTTAAAACTCATTCTTAAACTCATGAAAAGCCTCATTTAGTCTGGATGACACAAGTGTTTTTAGGAGAAACAAATGTTTTTGCAAAACTTGAAACATAGAAAATGAAACAAACGTGGAAAATCATCTCATTTTCAGATTAAATGAAAAGTTTTAATGTCTGTGAAGTCAAGTAATCAAGTTGTGATTGTAAATTAGTGTTACAAGTCACTCCATATATAAAACATAAAGCTCCAACGACTTAATGAGGGCAACTACGAAAAAAACACAAGTATCGTGGAACTTAGTTAGTTCTTTTACTTCAGAAGGGACACCATGTGGTTAGGACGCCGCTCAAATGGTTTTTTGGAGAAGCACACAAAGAAAAGGAAAAGCACTAACATATATTTGCCTAACGACAACATTTTGTTGAAGTAGCGGAATGAGGTGATGGAGCAAGTTCAGGAGGGCCGTTAAAAAGAAGGACAAGCACTAACATATGACAATAAATTTTGAAATTATTGTGATGTTTGTGACATGTAAAAATTGTATATTTATTTAGTTCATACAATACGTTAAAACCATGAAGACTAGCACTAATATTGTTATCCTATCAAGGTAATTAAGTCATCGGGTCCACTCACTATGTTTAAATATGTATACATACCAAGTATATAAAGATTTTTAGCAAAAAAAATGCAGATATATATATTTTAATGTTTGTTTGTATTACTAAAAGCAGAGTTTATGAAGATACATCTTGTAACGCCCCGACGGTCCATGCAGACTAGCACTAATATTGTTATCCTATCAAGAACCCATAACATTCACTAATATGTTCACATGCATTCTTGTGATGAATAAAACCATACTACCATTTATTAGTTTTTATGCTAATAGTTGGTTTTTGTTATTAAAAAAAAAACGACAGTATTTATTTACATTTTAACACAATTGTTGACTATTGTGATGATGTTACGAAAAGAAAAAAGATGGACTAACTAGAAGATGATCATTGAAAGGAAAGGAAATATACAGTTAAGATAGTCAATTCATTTGCTCCACATTATGAATTTAAGGTAATTAAGTCATCGGGTCCACTCACTATTTTTAAATATGTATACATACCAAGTATATAAAGATTTTTAGCAAAAAAAATGCAGATATATATATATATATATATATATATATATATAATTTAATGTTTGTTTGTATTACTAAAAGCAGAGTTTATGAAGATACATCTTGTAACGCCCCGACGGTCCATGTAGACTAGCACTACTATTGTTATCCTATCAAGAACCCATAAGATTCACTAATATGTTCACATGCATTCTTGTGATGAATAAAGCCATACTACCATTTATTAGTTTTTATGCTAATAGTTGGTTTTTGTTATTAAAAAAAACGACAGTATTATTTTACATTTTAACACAATTGTTGACTATTGTGATCATGTTACAAAAAGAAAAAAGATGGACTAACTAGAAGATGATCATTGAAAGGAAATGAAATATACAGTTAAGATAGTCAATTCATTTGCTCCACATTATGAATTTAAGGTAATTAAGTCATCGGGTCCACTCACTATGTTTAAATATGTATACATACCAAGTATATAAGTGCACTTTGGTGACATAGGTGGTCAAATCAATTCTCTTAAACCTCTTCGCATGTACCACCATATTTCTGAAATCGGGGTGTTACAATTCACCCCCACTAATATATATATATATATATATATATATAATTTAAAATTCATAAAACAATTTATAGACACATATTTTTAATGATTCAACCCATATGTTCTTACAATATATTTATCTTATATATATTAATGTATTCAAACAGTTTTATATTCAAACCATTATTATGTCAAATGCTAAAATTATTTTAAAACTTTTGTCACTTATATATTAATGTACTCAAACAGTTTAATATTTATAAACACACCTACCTCTTATCACTCTTAACATTTTCCCTGATTTCACCACGTTTTTTTAACATCTGACTTTATTAATAATGGTGTCGTTAGTTTAAATCTCTGTTCTAAAAATCGGCCGCCTAGCCGCCTAGGCGGCCGTCTAGGCGCTGATTGGGTGGGAACCGCGGCGATTTTGTTCAAATCGGTAAAAAAATCCGATTTTTGTCCGCCTAGCCCAATTTGTTTTTTTTTTACATTTTTTTTCTTTTTTTGTTTCTAAATTGAAAACATCCCACTTATGTTCAAAATTTATATAAAAATCATAAATTTGACCTTAGTTTCTTATTTTCATGTGTTTAATGCAATTTAAAAACAATAATATATAAATTTCTTATTTATAATGGATTAATATATTTTTAAAATATTAAAAAGTCTTAAAACTAGTCCCCGATTAATCCTCGTTTATTCTCCGATTTTCTTGCTAGGCGCTAGGCCCATCCTCACCGCCCGACTAGCGCCTAGCAATTTTTTGAACATGGGTTTAAATAGTCACAATGTAAGGCATTCGTGATAAAAGTGAACATAAAAGTGAGACTGAAAACTAGAGTTAAAAGGAATATGAGCTTTTGCAAGAATATCTTCGATTGATTATGCTTCCTTGGTATCCATTCAAACTTGACTTCGTCAAAATTGGTCTTCCAATAGAATAAATTACGGATTTTGTCCTTTTTCATAAGGGCATTTGTGGATTTTGCCCTTTTTTGAATAGTTTATGCATTTTGCCCTTTTTTATGCTCCAAAAATATGATTTAACATGCGTTTCACTCGTTATGTTTGGGTTTAGTCGGTTCCATTTGTTCTTAGGGTTTAGTATTTGGTATAAAGTACGTATTTTTGGAAAAAAAAATCCTAAATACGTACATTTTTAAGTGTTAAAAAAGGGCAAAATCCGTAAACTATTCAAAAAAGGGCATTTTCGTAAGTTTTTCCCAAAAAAGGGCATTTTAAACAATAATCCCCTTCCAATATCTTGCATTCAAGTATGGGCTCCAAAGTTCATCCTTTTGTCATTGAGTACATTCGACAGTCACCTTCAAAAATAACCTTCTTGTATCCTCTACTCCATTAATGTTGCATTGTAATTACGGTCAAAGCTTGTATGTGAAATAATACAGATGGAAATTATTATAATATACATTAATGTTAGATGTGCTTGATTAATTCGTGATGAATAACAATTCTAACATTTTTAGCTAAAACTTTCTAACCGTAGTGGGATGTTTGATCATATAGTTTTTAAAATGTAGATATTTTTTTGAAAATTAAAATAAAAATATATATTAAAATATATTATATTTAAATATAAGATATGATATACATTCCAGATAGACTTTAATATTTTCAGTTTCTTCAACTTTATGATATTAGAGGATGAGATTTTAACTTTTATATAGTATGTAACGGCATAAATGTTATCACTAAATTAAATAATTTACTATATGTGTATTACTTGCTCAATCGAAAATAGTAAGAAGAAGATGATAAATAATTTCGACATAGAAAAATGCGTCAATCAATGACGAGATGAAACGAGATGTATAAGCCCTAAACCAATGTTATATATATACATTAATGTATTAAAATAGTTAAATATTCAAACCATTATTACATCAAATGCTAAAATTATTTTTAAAATTTCGTCGCTTACATTATAAAAGCAGCTACCTATTATCACTCTTAACATTTTCACTCTTTTCACCAGTAGATTTATTTTTAATAACATCTGATGTTATTAATAGTGGTGTCAAGAGTTTAAATCGTCACAATGTAAGGCATTCATGATAAAAGAAGGAACATAAAAGTGAGACTGAAAACTAGACAGTCACATCTTCAAAAATAACCTTCTTGTATCCTTTACTCCAACAATGTTACATTGCCATGATCAAAGGTTGTAGTTCTTTTTCGAGAGCATTCATAGTTACTCTGCCTGTGCCTTGACCTGATCCAAGATAAGTACCCAAATAATATTTGATAACTCAACCTGACTTGGATGGTAATCTTCCATTGACAAAGGATCCATCATATATTGTTACACTTTGTCCAATCCTCTGGCCGTCTTCCCCATAACGTATGGCTTATGTTGTTGCTTCTTGAATGCTTTTGCGCATTGGTCATGGAATTTTTATTCGTTATGTACTCCTGTGTATACTCCCATTCTTTTATATCATTCTTGGCCAGAAAAAGAACATTTTCCCAGAGTAGACTCTTTAGTTGAAACGTACTAGTGAATTCCTACTCTTCCACAATCTCCAAAGGATCCATATGTCTAATTTTTGGAAATGTGTCTGAGGTTGATTGCGAAGCTTTCTTCGACATATCTTCCTATGCAACCACTCTCTAATTTTTGTTTCGTTCCAACTGTTTCATGTGGCACTCACAGAGTCTTAGACCATATAATTTCCAACAGTTTGATTACGACCTTGTAACAGCGATCTCCAAGCGTATGACGTCTTCTTCTTTAGGTTAGCATTTAACACACAATCTGGATTCCGTAAAATTCACCAATACAAAATTTATTACTCTCTTTCACAACGGAGTTTATTTTTGTATCATAGTTAATTCATACATTGTCAAATAGTATGTTACATATAGAAAGAAATATTTTAAACTTAAAATAGTCTTGGAAAATAATTAAAAAGTAAAATTTATTTATTTATTTTGAAAAATTAAATCAATATATCACATTTGTTGAAATAAAGAGTTCAGATTGACAAAATGATAAAATTTTAGATTACTTGTTGTCCAAACAAGTATAATTAGGGTTTACACCTTTTATTTCTTCTGTATACATATATTGAGCATTAAGAACCTATCACCTTATAAGCTATTTACAACTCTAGTCGATGCTGAATATATTTGTGAATTTATTATATTGTGTGCGTTTTCTTTGTCATAGGAGGAGAACATACTCAAATTCCAGACTCAAATGCTAGATTGTGAAATTATTGTGATGTTTGTAACATGTAAAAATTGTATATTTGCTTAGTTCTTTGTTATTACACTACGTTAAAACCATGAAGACTAGCACTAATATTGTTATACTGTCGAGAAATCCATAATATTTACTAATATGTTCACATTCTTGTGATGGATAAAACCATCATACCATTTATTAATAATATTATGCTAATAGTTGGTTTTTGTTATTTAAGAAAAAAAAAACAACAGTATATGTTTACATTTGACAAAATTATTGACTATTGTGATCATGTTACAAAAAGAAAGGAGATTGGCTAAAAAAGAAGATGATCACGAAATATACTGCTGTCAATTCATTTTTTGAATTTAAGGTAATTAAGTCCTCGAGTCCAATAACTATATTTAAATATATACATACCATGTATATAAAGGATTTTTAACAAAAAAATCTTAGATACTAAGATTTACTAAAAGCGTAGTTGATGAAGATACTAAGATACATCTACTCGACTTCATGAAACCTAGTAGATAGCTTCCATGAAAATGAAACATCATCATTGAACCAACATGAACCATTAATATATATATATACAATATCAGAAAATAACAATCTAGAGGATCGAGATAAATATTCTACTTTAAAACAACAAGAACGTAAAATCTGAGATAGTGAGGAAGAGGGCAAGAAAACTTGAAGCAAACCAATCTTATGGTTCACCATAACGTATATATGGCTTATGTTGTTGCTTATTTATTGATTTTGCGCATTGGTCAAGGGATTGTTGTTGCTTATGTACTCCTATGAAATTAAAGGCCCATTCTTTCATTCATGCTTGCCCAGAACATTTCCCGAGAGTAGACTCTTTCGTTGGAACACTAGTAAATTTCTACTCTTCCACAGTCTCCCAAGGATCCATAGTGCTAATTTTTGGAATTGCGGTTAAGCTTGATTGCTAAGATTTCTTCGACATCTTCCTTTGCAACTGCTTATCTAATTTTTGTTTCGTTCCAGCTGTTTCATGTGGCATTCACCAACAGTTGGATTACGAGGTCATCGTAGTTTTGGTGGATGTGAAGGCAACCAGGGATCGGACCAAGCGTTGGCGTTGATCATCGACTGTCTCCAATAGCGAATCACAGACCTTGTCTTGGCAAATCTTGACTTTGTAACAGTAATCTCCAAGCGTATGAAGTCTTCTTCTTAGGGTAGCATTTAACACACAATCTGGATTTTGTAGAATTCACCACTAGAAAATTTATTAATCTATTTCACAACTGAATTTTTTTTGTTTTTGGTATCACAGTTAATTCATACATATCCAAATAGTTTGTTATATATAGAAAAATATATTTTAACACTAAAATAGTGTTGGAAAATTATAAATAGTAAATTTTATTTCTTTATATTAAATAATTAAATTCATATATTACATTTGTTGAAATGAAGAGAGTTCAGATTGACTAAAAGATAAGATTTTAGATTATTTGTTGTCCAAACACGTTGTGACACCTGTCCACTCTGACAAAAAGGGTAATTAGGGTTTACACCTTTTATTTCTTCTCTCTCTCTCTATATATATATATATATATATATTGAAGCATAGCAAGTCTTAGAGAACCTTTTCAAAACACAAGAACCTAGCCGCCCCCATAGAGGCAAAAACTTCTATGATCCATTGTTGAAGATCGATGAAGCAGAATCCGAGTGCTAGGAGATAAAGCGTAAACCAAATACCCAGATGCACTCTTGTAGCTCTTGTTGTAATCGGCACTGTGGCAACGTTAGATCTGCCTTTGTACAGAAGATGGAATCAATTTCAGGTAAGACAATATCAAATTTTGATCCAATATAATATATACTTGTCTTAAACTGTTGGTTTTTATTCTTTATTTTATGTGTTTTTTATTCTTAATAGATATGTTGTTAATTACTGTATAGATCTGTTAGGAAAGTACACAGACACAACGAGCTTTGTCGGGAAAAATTGACATAAGTCATGCACGGATGCATTGTGTCAACGGTACGGTACGTCTTGTCTTTTTTTTTTGTTTTGTTGTTTTTTTTCTGTTTTTTTTTTTGAGACTTTTTATTAGCATAACATACGCTCAAATGGGTTAGACAGAAATTTGATAAGAGACTTTTTGTTTTTTTTTTTTTGTTTTGTTGATATAGGACTTCTATTGATTTGATAAAAATTCATGTCTTTTAAATATTAATTTCATTTCTAAAAGTGATTATGACAACAATCTCAACTTTATTAATCAATTAGATTAGATGTGTGTTAATTATATACGGGTTAATCGATAAATGATTATTTTATAAATTTTTTGCCACTGTACAAATATCATATTGAATTTCAATTGAACCAACTGTAAATCTTATCATATATTTGGGTTTGAAACCCCCAATTATGTTTTTTTCTTTCTTTTAGATTGTATAAAAATTATTAGTTGATTATATATATAAAAGATTACGTAATTTAAAATTTTAAGTTTTTATTTTAAAACTTAACCAACGATAAGTCAAAATACATTTGGTTTGATTAATGTTGTAACTCTCATCTCAATTTATATACTCTATCTAAATATCCCTAAAGCACCTATACATTAAAAAAAAAACATCTCTACTAAACTACCATACTATGTAAGCTAAACTTTGGATTGATTAACTTGTCTTAAATGTCTTACTCAAACATGATGACTACAATTAATGCACCATTCATGTTGATACTACATATTGTAATTTACGTAGATATGTATTTCAGTATCATTTTTTTTTGTTTTTGTTAAGAAAATAAAAAGGATAAACATATTTTAGTTTCAAAACTGAAAAATAGTAAAACACTTATTAAAATCTAATTAATTAATTGAAATTTGTCGCATTTCGTGAAATACAGTTTTGCAATGTGACAAGCTCTGTTAAGAGTGTTGAAACTTTATATAAAAAGATTAGTAAAATTTTATTTCTTTTTTCGGGTAGGATAAGATATCATAACTCACCTTTATCTAATAAGATATCATAACTCAATCAAAAATTCCATACAACTTTGGCCTATACGGCTTATTAATAACAATGAAACTTTAACTAAATCTGGAAGTCAATACAATTTGACGCACGAGTTTGGATCAGTGAAGAGATTTTAGTCATTCAGGAATATGAAGATGGTCCACTGGTTGTACATGCATGGTTTAGGTTTTAAGGAGCCACATGGATTGCATGTCACTGTGAATTGTATAGCACCCCAACTCTAGGAGCAAAGGACTTCTCCTATCATCTACGAGATGAGACGTAAAATTATGATGTTTGAAAGGAAGGAGATGAATCTCAAGAAGTGAGCTTCCAAACTTTTGAGAAGGAGTAAATGTAATTAACTCCTTATTATTTCTAGGTTCATGTCCCTACGCTGAGGATAGAAATTTGCATCAACGAATTAGGATACACTACAGGAAATGTGGGTATTAATAGCGGCTGAAAAACGCAATTATTCATCTACCATAGCGTTTCCTTAAGCGCTCTGACATCGCCCGTTATAGAAAGTCGGACACTTTTGATAGCGGTTTTGCGTTGTGCAATAGTTAAGTATACAACGATAGTGTTGTCTTCTGTGCAATTGTTAATGTTTATAATAGCGTGATAAAAATGTTATTAAAACTCGTTAATTAGATTTTACCTATAGCAAAGATAGCAAATGTTTTGTGTTATTAGTTTGTTTTTTAATTATTCAAAATAATAAATAATTACGAATTATTTTTTTATTTAAATATAATATTTGTAAAAAAAAATTAATTTCGAATATTTGTAAAAAAAAATACCATTAAAATTAATACAAAATATAAATATTAAAATGTTTAGTAACCCATTTCAAATTTCATTGTTTACAAAAACCACAAACATACCTATCAATCTACCACTAACAAACCTTCACAATCATCCCTAACATAAACAATATCATCATCAAAAGCTTCATCATCCAAATCATCGACTTCTTTGATCAGTCTTGATCCATCTTCTGGGATGTTGGAGCCGAGAAACGATTTGATGCTTTCATCATTTAGCTCACCTAAACGAGGAGAATCCATTGAAGTAGTTCTAAGTATTCTTGGAGACTCCATTGAAGTAGTTCTATGTATTTTGGGAGATTTTGGTGTTGGTGGTAGACGCGGAGACTCTATTGAAATATTTCTCTGTGTTCTTGGTGATGCCATTGGCACATTTGCTGCAGTGGCTGATGCCGACCCAGCTTCAACTTGCTCCATTGATGTCTCGTACGCTGCTACCAGTTCCCCAAAATCTAACCCGGAGCTCACTAATTTGTCGTATCTTCCTGACTGCACAATCATTCCATCTCGCATAACCTGTAAAACAGATTTACTCATTAGCAAATTCCTATAAAAACTCAACAAGTTTTAGTTTTTTGTTCCAACGAACTGTACCAAGATGCGATCAACGTTGTGAAGGAAGTCCACTTGACTCCTTTCCAGTCTCTTCCGATAGCTCTCTGCTCATCATGTAAGCGTCGTCAAAAAAAACTATCCTGTTAACAATAAAGAGAGAAATCAAACTTATGATATCATGACAACAGAACAAGGAACCAGAGATTCAGACAACAAACAAAGAAACAAACCTTGGAGTTCTCGTTGTTTGTAATTGAATCCCACTTCTCCTGAACCTCTGCTAGAATTTTCAACAAAATCTTGCTTCTTCTCTTCTTCTTCCTTCGTCTTCTCAAGACCAAACTCATCTTTCTTCCTCTGTCTCTTCTTCCCTACTTTGTCATTAAAATCAGTCGTAGGTTCCTTAAAATTGCCAAGATCTTCTTCGCCTTCGTCTACAAATTCAGGAACATAAATCTGACTTTTTATCTAATCTCCTCCTTGTGATATCCGTCACAGAGATGACTGGACCCGTAAACCCAAATACACGATTGAAATCTGCCTTGACAACGGCACGCGTGGTATCTTCCGGCGCCGTTTTGAGGTCCAGATAAGTCTCTCCAAACTTCTCTCCCTCGAATGAGATGATTGGAAGAGTCGCTAGCTGAGATGCAACAGAGAGCGGTTTCGATGCTTTGTCGGAGCCAAATTTTGAAACGGAAATGTAGGTTTCAGGGATTTGGTGAGAGGAAGATAAAAAGAGAGAAGAGGAGAAGAAAGATAGCGAATTTGGGGCTGTTGCAGAGGAAGCCATTGTTGGTCGATGAGCTCACCTATCTCAACGAAGAAGAAGAAGACTGAAAGTTTTAACCTATCCCATAAGATGTAAGATCTAAGAACAGATCGTACTAAGGAAGAGAAAGCCAAAAGGAAAAGAAGTTTTAACCAAAAAAAAAGAAAAGAAGGAGAAACGTTTAGTCGTCGGATTAAATTCATCAACGGTGGAGAATAAGCCCAGAGTGCAATCTTGGTAGTTACTCCTTATTGGCTAAGAACATGAACGGCTCAGATCAAATCAGCGAGACAGATCAACGGTGTATATTAATCACGTCAACAATAAGAAAGGACGGCTCAGATCAAAGTCGGCGCGATCTAACGGTGTAGGATTCGTCCCACAATGTGGGAGGTGAGTTCTCATTGGCTAATAATGAAAAAATCAGAAAATTATCATATAAAATTGTTTATTAATGAAAAAAATATAAATTATTTCTTTAAAAATTCAATATACGTATTTCAATTTTTAGAATATTTTTTCTTATAAGTATAAAATTTTAAAATTAAGAACAATTAATATAGGTTAGTATTCCAACTATCTAACTTATATGTTCATATACACTAAGGCATAGTTTAGGGTTTAGGGTTTAAACTTTGGGATTTAGATTTTTTTACTCAAGTATTTATGTTTTATAGTTTATGATTTCGAATTTCAATTTAGGATTTTAACTTTAATTTAGAGTTTAAAGATTTAATTTAATTAAGATTTTAACTTTAATTTAGGGTTTAGGGTTTAGGGTTTAGGGTTTAGAGATTTAATTTAAGATTTTAACTTTAAAATTTAAAATAATTATTTTAAAATAATTTTATTTTGTTAATTTATAAAAAGTGAATCATGTTTCAAGATTGAACTTTCAACTCTAAACCCTATACCCTAAATGGTTTAGGGTTTAGGGTATAGGGTTCCATCTTTAAACATTTTTCACTATTTTTCAATTAACAAAATAAAACAAAAAAAAACATTAAAAACTTTTCAATTAAAATTTATTTAAATTTTTTTATTTCTTTTACAAGAATTTTTTTCATTAGTATAATTTTTTTATTATTATATGATACATTAGTTAATTTTATATTCCATTGTTGATTGTATATATATATATATATATATATATATATATATATATATATATATATTTAGAAAAAAATTTCTGTTCCATGATTTTGTTTGTAGTTTAAAATTATTTGATAGTATATTATTAACAAACTATCAAACGTATACGAATAATTATGAATTAAAATTTATTAACATGAGAAAACAAAGTCTAGAGAAGTGCATACATATATTGTTCGACATAAAAATAAAACAAAGTCTAGAGAAGTGCATACCAAAATAAAACAAAGTTTTCGACACTTTCTCTTTTTTTTTTTTTTTTTTTTTGAACACCAGTCTTCGACACTTAAAACAAATGGTGCGACATAAATTTCAGAGACCTTGTTGTACTTGTGACACGTTGAGTATACATAGTGCAGTTTCAGCATCCTCTAACTTTTCCCTAAAATCTGATTCTTCTGCAGTACACTCAGATGGAAGTTCATCACCAACTTCAGATTCAAAAAAAGCTGTCCTCATCAAGTAATAAGCCTCTTCCTCTGAATTTGGAAAATCTGCAGATGTTCTATCCCTCCTATCCCCATGCTTAAACTAACATGGATTCCTCTTGTACTTCAAATCCATACCTCTAATCACAAGAGGCTCAAATACAGTATCTATCAGCTGATGGTAAACATTCCAACAATCGACGCATGGACAGAACAGATTCTTATGTCAAAAGTCAAAGACGCTATCATGAACCTTGGTATGAGACATCTTCTTTCGCCTCTCTCATTAGCCAGATTGCAATTCCCCCAAGCCTGAGTGTCTCATCTATTACCTGTTGAAAAATCAAGAAAAGTGTTTAGTGAAGGTTTTTACCATCTGTGATAAGAAGCAGAGAACATTCTTGGGCATCTCAGCAAACCAGCTCGAAAGCGGAAATTAACAATTGAGTTAGATGTTCCTTACCTTCATTGCTTTGTGGTATGTGAAACCAGGCAAGTTTATAGGAACAGAGAGACATCCATCAACAAAATGAGAGAAAAACTGAGACATTTCATTGACTTCTGATTGGCTTGACACTCCAAGAAGTTGGTTAACCATAAGATGAATCGCAACCTGAAACAGAACAACCAAACAAAGAATAAATAATCATGACATTCTCTCAAGGCTTTGTTGTATTATTCTTCAATCACTTGCCTTTCTGCAGATATCCTGGAGAAGCACGACTTCACCGTCCTTAAAGTTACTCAATGTCTGAAGCATATGGATTCCTCTTGTACTTCAAATCCATACAGATCCGCAAATCCAACTACACATCAGAAAAAAGATACATGAGACATCAATAATCATGAGAGCAGTGGCAGCGACCGGTAAGAACTAGAGACAAGAGCTAGGAAACCAAATTAGCATCTTTATATGAGAGCAAGAAACTTTTCTACACTATCCAAACTCAGGACAAAAATCAATCGATACATGCATTATCTAGTAAAGAATCTAGTAAATAGACTATCTTGTAATGAATCTAAACTCAGACATAAATCAATCGAAAACACAAATTGAAAGTCGAACACCCAAACTCACATAAGAAGAAAGAAACACGATTCAAATCACACAAACAACAATCAAAAACCCAATTACTTCAAAAACAACAAAAACAGATGAAACCCTAACATGAATAAAAACTAAATCATTGAGAATATCGAACACCCATACATATACTAACCAATTTGATTTCGATTGATGTCTGTGACGATTAAGAAACATACGATCGAGATCTAGAGAGATTTCGACTGAGAGGGATTTAGATCTAAGAGGGATTAGACAAAATTAGGGATCGATAGTGGAAGAGAAACTAATTGGGTTTCATTTGGTGTTCATATTTGGTCTTTCAGGGAGAAAGAACGGATCAGTCTCGAGACAGAGAAGAAAGATGTGAGAAGAGGAAAGAAAGAAGAAAGATGTGAGAAGGATCGATAGCCCTAATTTTTTTTTTTTTAACTTATTGTTTCTTTGTTTTTTTTTTATTATTTTGTTACTTAGTAAAATTTTTGGAGCCAATAAAATTTTAGTTTCCCGGTTATACCTATAATAACGTTTTAATTTACATCTATGCTACCATAGACCAAATACTAAGCGCCACTCTGAAATATTTTTCGCGCTCAACCTACCATAGCGTTTGCCTTTCTCCAAACGCTATCTAAAATTTTTCAAAACTCTATTATAGCATAAATATTCAAAACGCTATGCTCTTACGCTATTAATACCCACATTTCCTGTAGTGATATGATGATGAAAACTAAGAGGAGTTCTCCATTGTACATTTTACTTGGATGGGTATGTATTTTCATTCCTATCTTTTTTTCTTCTCAGATAGTTTTGTTATATAGAGAGAAGCATCTTAAGACTTAGCACTTAAACTACTTCTCCGATCCAAGACTAAAGAAACACAAACACCATAAGCTACTTAACTAGCAAGTCACACCATATCATTTGTCTAAGAAACAAATCACTCATTGGTGGTTTTGCTGATGAGAGACTACTGGGTGTGAGGGATCACACCTCCTCCAGCAATTGTTCCTTTGATGAGTGTGTCAAGCTCCTCATCTCCTCTGATCGCCAACTGCAAATGCCTTGGAGTTATCCTCTTCAGTTTCAGATCTTTGCTCGCGTTTCCAGCCAACTCAAGAACCTTTGTAGTTAGGTATTCAAGGATTGAAGCCGTGTAGACATCAGTAGTGGCACCAACTCTACCATGTGCAGAAACTATGGTCTTGACTTGCCTGTGAATACGACCCACTGGAAACTAAAATAAACAAAGAAATAGTAGCAGTGTGAAATTTCATAAAATTAGACTACAAAGAAACATGAAATTTCTTTGTTTACTTCAGTTTTTGATGGGTCGTATTCACATGTAACTCAGGACCAGAGTTTCTGCACATGGTCGAGTTGGTGCTATTGTTGATGTCTACACGTACGGATTCAATCCTAGAGTACCTAACTGCATAGGTTCTTGAGTTAGCTGGAAACGCGATCAAAGATCTGAAAGTGAAGAGGATTAATCCAAGACATTTGCATTTGGTGATCACATGAGATAAGGAGCTTGACACAATCATCAAATGAATAATTGGTGGATGAGGTGTAGTCCCTAACATCCACAAGTCTCTCATCAACAAAACCAGCAAGAAGTGATTTGTTTCTTAAGTTAAATGATATGATGATGTTATTTTCTAGTTAAGTAGCTTATGGTGTTTGTGTTTTTTTCGTCTTGTTGAAGATGAAGCAGAATCCGAAGGCCAGAATGGTGGAAATGAATATCTCATTTTACTAGCACACTAGGATTTAACACGCGATACACCGCGGGATTATATTTTATTTCTTTACTTAGCAACATTAAATTTTTATAAATTTTTAGCATTAAAATTATATGATATGAATTTTTGATGTTTTTAGATTTAATTCGTAGAATGTAATTAGTATTGTATTATTGCAATTAGACATTTAGAGGTGTCAAAGGAGATTAGCACTTAATTTTAATTCATAAGCTACTTAACTAACAAATCACATCATATCATTTGACTTAAGAAACAAACCACTCCTTGGTGGGTTTGTTGATGAGACTTGTGGATGTGAGGCAGTACACCTCCTCCAGCAATTGTTCCTTTGATGAGTGTCACAAGCTCCTCATCTCCTC